GGTAAATAGGTAGGTGAGAAGATAGATAGATAGATAGATAGATAGATAGATAGATAGATAGATAGATAGATGCATTAATGGATGGATAGATAATGATAGGTGGATGGATAGATGATGGATGGATGGATGGATGGATGGATGGATGGATGGATGGATGGATAGATAGATAGATAGATAGATAGATAGATAGATAGATAGATGAGATAGCCTCTCTGTAACAATATCCATGAAAATTTATCTTCTTTCACTTTATCACTCTTGGTAAATATCCTTAAAGCAGGTACAGGCATGCACGATCTCTTACCTCTCTGCCAAGTCTATATATTTCTATTCACAAACATCTTTGACCTCCTCTAGATTTTTCCTCTCCTCACTGAGGCATAGAGCTGTAGACATTTGGAGAGGAGAATCCAGCTTCCTAGCCTTAATTCTCAGTCTTCTTTCTGTCTACAACACCCTGATGTGAACACCAACATACACAAAAGCATGGTTTCTGCTTGTGCCCAATACACACAGCAGTTTCTAGGTAACAGTTAATTCCCAGCCCATCGGGCTGTGGGAAGCACTCCAGGGTGCCCAGACACAAGGGCTGAAAAGTTCTGCTTTGTGCATGATCTGTTCTTGGGTTCCATCATCCCTGTCCTACCAAACTCACCAAGCAAACTTCCATGGGGGTGAAAATAAGATGAAAAAGAAAGACTGCAGTCCTCAAATTTCAGTGTGTAAAATAAAGAACATTGACGTAATGATTGTCTTGAAGCAGAGCACGGAGACAGGAGAACACGTGTTGCATGTTCAATGCATGCCAATTTCAGCAATGTAAATATCTGGGTAGAGACATGTTCAGTGTAGAAATACAGTAAAATCATAGGGGATGAAAATAGAACCCAAAGTCTCACCCTGATGATGTCTCAGGGTCTGACATGGAAGAGGGGGTGGTAAGCAGCATGTTTTTAAGCTAATGGTGTAGGCTGGAGTCTCAGAGACATTTTCCCATCTTCTGACAGATGTCACCTCCTCCTCTCTTGATTTCACCAGAGTACATTCATTCATGAACTATTCATTCTTTCTCATAGTCTATGTTCACTAAGCACCCACTGTGTGTGGACTTCCTACTAGGGTCTGAGGATTCAGAAATAAAGATACAGATCCTTCCCTGGAAGGCTCACAGCTCAGTGGAGATGACAGTCAAGTAGATAAGTAGTTGTTAGAGAGCTACTGGAGAGCTCATTCTGTAAATGCATGAAAGAGGAGGGCACCAACCCAGCTAGGAGAACCAAGGGTCCCTCAAGCAGACAACAGTGGTTATCCCAGGGATACTGAGCGAGGACACTGCAGTTAGGAAGGAGGTGACACCAGTACCATCCAATGTTGCTGAGTACTTACCCAGGCCTGACCTTGTGCTCAGTTGTACTTCTAAATTATGACTCTATTGTTCCTCAAACTACCTTGTGAGGCAAGTATCCCCACCATCCCTGTAGTACAGATGTGGAAACAGAGGCTCACATCATGACCTGCAGGCCTGAGGAGGGGCAGACCATCAGCAGAAGTCAGTATCCAAACACGGGCCTGAGTGGAAGGCTCAGCCCCTCATGCAGGGCCTCTCCCAGTTTTGTTGCATTTGAAAAGAAAAGGCAAAAGGCTGAGTGTGCGTGTTCCTGAGTTGCGTGCACTGCACAGCTGTGCGGAGGGAGCTCGGGCTCAGAAGCTGCCTACATGCTCTGATGTCTGTGGCTCCTGGAAAAGGAAGTGGACAAAAAAAAAAATCTTCCGGCAGGACCATAGCTGCTTGGAGCCTGGGATAGGAGCTCTCTTGGGCAACTGGAAGCTGCCCTCTGTCTGTGGAAATCCACTCACGTCCTCCTTGCTTCTTGCTTCTAACCTCTGCCAGTCCTAGCCCTTTCTGCAGCCCAGGGGCCAACTCCAGCTTCAGCAAAACACAGATGTTCCTTTTTTTCCACCCAACTCATGCCTGGAGAGTCCCTCTTTCTACTGCCTCCACCCTTCCCTTCTCCCTCCATTCTGAATAAAATAAAAATACAGCGATAGCAGCATGCTAGAGTGCCCAATACACTCCTCCTGCAAGCTTGGTTAAGCAAATCACATTGACCTTTAATAAAAATGTACCACATGTGTCCTTCTCTCATTTGATATGTTAATCTTCAGGCCAAACCATCGTCAAGTGCAAGCCTCATTCAGTGTAAATCTGATCACGCTATCCCCGCTTCCAACACTTCAGTGACTACGAATTGCTTCCAAGATGAAGCCCCAAGTTCTAGCAGAGCACAGAAGGGCCTCCTACGTGGCCTATGCTGAGCTGGCAGGGCTCCTTTCCCAACTGTCCCTCCCCCTGCATCTCGCCACGCTCTGGCCATTCCCAAGTGCGGAGCATCTCGACTTCCTTTGCCCTGTCTCTAGCATGATTTTGTCTGCAGTGTCTGGGCATCAAGCCCCTGCCAGCCACACGTTGATTACCTCCTACTGTTCAAGCGCAGCCCAGGCCAGCAGCTGGCTTCACCTTGGGCTGAGCTCCCCAACTCCTGAGGGGCCTGGTGACTCGTAGTGCTTCACTTTGTTATATCCTGCTCATCTTCACTAAGCTTCATGCATGACTCTTGTTAGAGAACCTAAGAAGCAGTTGCAAATGACGAACACACTACATAAGCTATTATACTGGAAGGTCCAGGTCCCAAAGACCACTACATTAGGGGTGTGCTTTGGACAGCATGACATTGTCCCAGGAACTTCTGACCAAAGAGGGTCTACATGTAGACCCAAACTGGTGTTATGGAGTCACTACTTCCCTCTTGGGCTTGTACTGGATCCTTAGTGTTTTGATGGAAAGCATTTTTTTTTTTAATAGAAAGTCCGTCTCCTTACGATTGGTTGGGTTGGCCTCCAAGATCAGCTTGACTGAGCTCTCTTCCTCATCAGCTTAGCATGGTCAGAGCCCTGTTCTGTTACCCCACCAGGGGAGCAGGAAGTCAGGAGGACCAGTTAGCGACAGAGCTGGCAAATGGGGTTACTGCTATCATTTTACACTGGTTTAACTGATTTGCTCATAATTTAAGCAACAAGCAAAGGAACACTGACATTCAAGTTCTCTTTGAAAAGATGGCTCTTGCTTACCAGAGAAAGCTGAAGGAGGCATTTCTAAGGGCAGAGAGGGAGGGAGGAGCCCTTGGCCTAGGAAAAGAGATTGACCGAGTTAATTTCCATAAGTAAGTGAACTTTTGCACCCATGCTATTGTCCATAGATATTTGTTTCACCCTGTGTTGCCTAGTTCTCCAACTAGGGTGATACAGACACCCATCTGTGTGGTTCATTATTCTAGCCCCAGAGCTGACCCTGCATCCAGCACAAAAAGCCACTTCATCACTATTTGTTGAATGACTGTATGAGTGACCTTTGCTTGGAGCTCAGAACTGGGTTCCAGGTTCTACCGGGCAGCACCAGCTTGCTGGGTGGCCTTGGGCTGGTTGCACTAGTTTCCTTGTCAGTGAGAATGGTAGTGTCTGCCTGACTCATTTCATGGGTCCACACAAGGTTCTGGCTGTGAGTGACAGCCCTTCTTTACTGTTCTGTGTGTGCAATATTGAACTTGAGAGATTATATCAATGCTGAAGAGTCAGTCCTCTCCCACTGGGAGTTGCACATGTGGATGAGAAAACCCAGGTGAACGCAGAGCCAGCTTTATCCTTCTGAAGCTAGAACTTGGGTCCCTAACGTGGATTCTCCAGGTCTAGTAGCCTGGCTACGGTAGTGCCAGCTTATGGTATCCCAGGGGACAAATACTTAGAATCCCTGGAGCCCAGAAGATATTAATGCCATGGACATAGTTGGGCCACTCTAGGACAGAAATATGGACTGTGAGAGAGGAGAGGTTGGCCTGGCTCTCGAGGACAGTGACACTGGAGGAGCAGACAGAAGAATCAAGAACAGAGCCTGAGAAGAAAAAGCCAGAAAACCAAGGGGCCAAACATGATGGAAGCCAGGAGAGAACAACAGTGTACAGAAAATAAGGGAAGTGGGTTAATCAGGAGAGAGGAAGGGTGGCAGGGTCACTATAACTTCAGATCTTAAAACCTCAGTAGGTCACATATTATGGCTTTCTAAAACTCAGCCAGTGATGATTTTAATTGTCTTTTTTCTCTTTTTCATTCAGCCTGATATGAACTTACCTGACTTATAATCAAAAAGCTGTATGTCATATCAAAAGGTATATGAGTGGGAACACCTCAACTAAGTGTAAAAGGAAAGGCTATGTTTATGGGCCCATGGGGAAAGATACACCAAAAGTGATATCAATTGTTGAACTTAACCACCAGATCTTGTGGTGGGATTTGGCCTGATTATTTTTCTTTGTAAAAATATTCATTTAATGTTCTTTGCATTAAACAATGTGGATTTTTTTTAAAAAATGGGAACCATGTAATCTTCCAAAGCGTCTGTGTTTTGTCCTTGTTGTGACCTTCATGCCTAGGAGTCTATATCTCAGGGACCATCATAAAGGACCTGGCTCTTGCCCATTTTCTTGGGATGCACTACACTACTTACAACTCACCAGTACCCAACCCCATCCCACAGGGTGAGTGTGCTTCTCTGTGTCCCTGCCATCCACACTGGCCACTAATCTGGTTGGCCACCAATATGGCATGGGTAAAGATGACATGGAGGGAAACCCTCCACCAACCTGGAGTGAAGATGTTTATGACCATTGCATGAAACTTTGTCATGTAAAGTGATTGAGATAGGGCCAGGGACATAGCTCAGTGGCATAAACACCTGCCTGGTAAACACAAGATCCTGTGTTTGATTCCCAGTGCCAAAAGAAAAAAGAACATTAAGATGGAGGGACAGGGTAGGGGGACTATTTGTTACTGCAGCTTGTTCTAACAGGTGTAGTCTTCTGGAATCCAGTGACAAAAAGAATATGTTGACAACACCAACACTTTCCCCAGGAGCCGAATTCTGAAGTGTTTCTCACCTTCTTTTCTAGACGATGCATATTTACTACAGGGACTTAATATAGAGGAACTCTATCCAGAGACCTCCAGTTTCATTACCTATGATGGGTCAATGACTATCCCGCCCTGCTATGAGACAGCAAGTTGGATAATAATGAACAAACCCGTCTATATCACCAGGATGCAGGTGAGCCTGTCTGCTCCATTAGCAGTCAGGGGTGATGACGTGAGGACGGGTGGGGGTGGTTCGGTGTCTGCTGTGTGAGGCCCACGGACACCAAGCTGCGTGGCCTTGGGCTGGCTGCACTACCTCTCTGATCTTAGTTTTCTTGTCAGTGACAATGTTAGTGTCTGCCTGACCCGTTTCATGGGTCCATACAAGGTTCTGGCTCTGAGTGACAGCGCTGCTGAAGCTAAGAGCCCCGGCAGGAGCATATTACCTCCCACTTCTGGAGGCTGAAGTCCAAGGTCCAGGTGTCAGAGGGCCTGATTTCTTCTGGGGGATAAGGAGGAATCTGCTCCGTGCCTCGTCCTAGCTTCTGGCGGTTTGCCAGACACCTTCAGAGCTCCTCAGCATGAGGGATGCCACCCCCATCTCTTCTGTCACCTTTTCACAGATTCCACCTTGTAGGTGGCTCCGTCTCTTTGCACATAGACACCAGGCACATTGAGTTAGAGGAGCCCACCCCCGCAGCCTCACCTTAGCTTAGTGATGACATCTTAGCAATAACCCTACTTCCAAGGTTCCGAGTTTGGGGGTATGATGGGGGCGCCCACACACCTCAGTATAAAGATCTGGCATCTGGCGCAGCTCAGCATGAGCTGCCTGCAGCCCCAGCCACCTGTCTGAGGAGAAAGAGCCGGCAAGGCTGGTTCACAGTGTGCTCCACAGGTGTGGTACTCCAAAGCAAAGGCATGAAATGAGTGATGTGGAAAACGTGCTCGGAAAACCCAGGTTTGTAAAAGTTGTGTTGATTTCATTGTGAAGGGGCTGCTGGGCCTTTTCGTTTTCTTTTTCTTTTTGAGACAGTGTTTTACTCTGCAGTTGAGGCTGGACTTGAGCTCACTATGTAGCTCAAGCTGGCTTTGAACACATAGAGGTCGTCCTTCCTCAGCCTCCTGAGTGCTAGGATTACAGGTGTGAACTGCTATGCCCAGCTTTCCTCCTCCTCTTCCTCTGTTTTCTTCATTGTCTTCTCCTGCTAGTGACTGTGTTCTCCTTCATGGTCCTGGGGTAAAATAAGACCTGGTACTCATAAAAAGAAATTGAATCTACCCAGATTAGTTTAGCTGCAGCCATCACTGAGGTCTGGGTAAACACCCATCCAGGAGTCAGGGAAGTACTGAACCACAGGCACCATTGCAAGAAGGAATCTCACAGAGCACCTGGATGGATTTCTTCCTTGGACAAATGGTGCAATGGAGGGTAAAAGTAAATGGCCTATTCAGAGAGACAAATGAGGTATTGAGCTAGAAGCCAATTCCCTCCAGACTTGGAAGAATTCGTGGCGAGGGGACACTGAATTCAGGCGAGGGGACACTGGAGGAGGCTCATGGCCTTTCGCAGATAGCTGGCACCATTCAGGCTGGCCAACATCTCCTCGGTCTTATCTCTGCCCCAGGGCATGGAAGAGAACTGCAGCTGCAGCTCACAGCTCTTCTCTCTCCTCAGATGCATTCCTTGCGCCTCCTCAGCCAGAACCAGCCATCCCAGATCTTTCTGAGCATGAGTGACAACTTCAGGCCCGTGCAGCCACTCAACAACCGCTGCATCCGCACCAACATCAACTTCAGCCTACAGGGGAAGGACTGTCCAAACAACCGAGCCCAGAAGCTCCAGTACAGAGGTGGGTGCCGAGGCTCGGGGTACAGGGCTTCCTGCCTGTGAGGGGAATCATGACTGAATGCCGATGACACCACTACTCCCATCTGCACGGTCCTCTCTGAGGGTGAAGTCTACCTGTCAGACCCAAACATGATGGTGAACACTCAAAGGCTAGATATGTATGGTATATATGGAGGGTTTGATGCCACGTATAGGAAACCTTTACACCCCTCTGGCTCAGTCAAGACAGTAATTTTTTATTGTCTTTTTTTTTTTTTTTGAAAGAGCCCATAAAAGGTGCTGAGGATATCTAAATATATATATATACTTTGCATTGCATTGGCTTGATCCATACACTAAGTTATTTAAAAAAAAAAAAAACAGGATAACAAGAAGCCTTAGAGCCTGGGACTCTGTCTCCTCTAAACAGTGAACAGAGGCACTGGGTGCCAGCCCATCTAATGCAATGAGATGACACAGTGTGTAAATATGAAGCCTGAGAGGCGGTTGTTAATGCCTCCTCTGGGGGCATGTAACATGACCTCTGCCTCCTGTAGCCTTCTGCCCCACACCCAGCCCTCTCTCCTCTCCTCTGCATGTGAGGCATCCATTGTTCACTGTGGCAAAGTGTCAGTGTGACAGGGAGGCAGCGGCAGCCTCAGGTCTTGGAAATAACTGTGCCTGGAAGGCTGGACACTGGAGTTTCTGACCTTCTATCAACTCGTGGGCCTGGCTTCTTCCTGACCCTCCCTGTCCCAATCTACATCAGCACTCATTGTAAGGGACAAATAAGAGCATGGACAAGGAAGCCCTTGGAAGCATTCCCATGCTCCCCACATACAGGAGCTGTGGTTTTTACCACGTAGCATTCAGAAGCAGAGGCCGGTGCTGCCCCCATCCATCACCTTATTCCTTCTCCTTTCTCCACATTGCCTCACTCACAAAGCACCTCAGCTACGGATTACCTGCTTCCTTATAGCCACAATTACTAGGGAAAAAGCACTTATTAGCACTGTGTGCTTCTAATGGGTCGGGCACATAGGGATGATGGGGACACAAGGGTCATGACGACAGATGAGGCTCTAACCATACAGAGCTCATGGTCTGGACCAGGAGCCAGAGTGCTTTGTTTAGTAATGGGATAGCAAGCAAATATCTGAGGCTTTGTGGCCTACACAGTTTCTGTCACACTCTAATGATTCACCTGGAAATTAGCCATAGACAATACGTGCTTAAACAGGCCAGCAGCGCCCCAATAAAACTATATTTACAAAAGTAACAGATAATGTGCTGGGTTTGGTTGTGGGCTTGAGTTTGCTCAGCCCGATCCAGACCAGCCACCAGCTAGAACTTTCTGTGATGACAGAAACCATCCGTATCTACATTGCCCACTAGAGGAGCTCCTAGCCTATTGAGGGTTTGGAGTGTGGCTGGTTTGATGCCACAACTAATTTTGTGTAATCCTTTTTTCATTACGGTAGTCATACCTGGCTAGTAGCTGCCATATTGGATAGTGCAGCTAGAAGGTCATGGGGAAAGAAGGTAGGAGATAAATAAGCAAGCAGGCATTTGTGAAACAGCCCCTTCCACTGTGCAGTAAGCCCCCCAAACTTGGTATAAATTAATTCAGTTGTGCCTTGTTTTGTGGTGTGTGTGTGTGTGTGTGTGTATGTTTTCTTCTCTTTCCAGTAAATGAATGGCTCCTCAAGTAGGGATCTAAGCCAAGGAGAATCCCATCTCAGTGAAATGCTCCAACTGTGAATTGATGTAACCAAGAATGTCCTCCTTCCTCCTTCTCTCCACTTCCTGCTCCCAAGCCCCACCCACTCCTTGGATCCGCCCCTTCTTCATGAGAAGTGTGTGCAAAACCATAGCAGAGGAAAGCATCTGTTATACACAACTCACATACACGTGTGTGTGAACATACCTACACACACACACAAACACACACTCATCCAACCTCCATGACAGAAAGTCAAGTTTCAAAAACAAAAGGCTCATTCATCAGAAGTCTTAGAAGAAAATAACCAGTTAACCCAATGACAATTTTGATACCACTTTCCTGAACTAAGAAACCTACCCAGTGGGACTTTTCATTCTTTGTACATAAAAAAATTCTTCCAAACGAGAGAGGAGCAAGCACACTTCTGAAAGTATCCTGTGGACTTTGTACCAGGTCATCTCCAGCAGTGTCCTCAGATCCTTCGAGAATGCTGGCAAGGGGCCAACGAGAACAAAGCTGACCAAGGACCCTTATTTCTAGATTAGGATTCTTCTGTTTACTCAACAACTTACAAAAGAAAACACAAAGGACAGACATTGAAGAGCTACACATTGTATATATATGTCACCGCAGACTATACAGAAATGGAATCATTTCCTTCTTTGTCACATATCTGTAGTAGGGTTTGCCAAGATCAGAATCGATCCATCTGCTGTTTGTTGTTTTCCAAAGGTCATCCGTTGTGTTTGGTTATCGTTAATAGCTCAATAAATGTATTTAACAAGTTAATTTCATTTTTCCAGCTTTGGTCTGTTCTCCTTTCCTCTGGGCGAAGCCCAGGCTCCATGCAGCTCCATCCTTTGAGTTCACTTGTTCCTCCACCTCCATGTTCTGTCCATCACAGCCCATTTTACTGAGTTTGTGGCAATCAGGAATGCATTTGCTAAGCAAGTATAACTTTAATTCCACTCCATGGCTCGATCATTCATACAAGGTGAGCTTCGGCCTGACCTAGCAGGCAGGCGACAGATTCCTTGCATTTCAAAACTGCCATCCCCCCTGTGATGCTCCCGTGAAGGAATGCACTTTGCCTTGTAAATTCCTGGGAAAGGGTGTCTTTTCTCTCCAGGTGCAGCCAGACCCCACAAAGTACAAACGAATGCCTTTCTTTTCTTGTTTATAATGGTCACTCACTGTGTTTGGTTACTGTCAAAAAAAAATCAATAAATGTGTTTAACAAGTTACCCAGGACCCCTGTCTGAGCTTATTGAGCAAGAGGATGCTCCCTGCTGATGCCTTGGTGTCCTGCTGAGTCCCCCTGCAATCGCCTCCAGCTAGCAGCCAGGCAGCCAGAGCCGCCAAAATGTCCCTCTGACCATTCCCAGGCCCTGGTAATTACACCCTGTGGAGAAGACATCCCGGCTTAGCTGTGGGAAGGGGAGACTCAGTGTGGGTTCAGTGGCCAAATGAAAACTAACTTTCCTCTCTCCTTTCTGTCACGAGCTCCAGGAAGAGGGAAAACATAGGCAGGGAGAATCCATGCCAAGGGCAACACTGACAGGCAGATTGAAAGCTTCACCCAGTGACAAGACCTGTTAACAATGAAAAACTCAAATAGCCGGTGACTTCCTCATGGAGCAGCCCTGACTGGGTTTTCTTGTTCACATTTGGCATCAATGTTAGCTACAGAACGGCTTTAGCCATCATGGTATCTAGGCCTTTTTCTAAGCAGTTGCGTTTGGGCCTGGAGGGGAGGTCAATGCTAGAGCACTTGCTCGGCTGGCACAAACCCGGGGCTTGATCCCTAAGCTTAAAGAGAAAAAAAAAAGACTGTAGACCTAAGCATTTGTATTTTTCCAGAGAACCAAACTCTTACAAAAGTTTGGGGTGAGCAGGTGGCAGTCTTTTTTTGTCTGGGTCTGCTTCTTTTCTGAGTTTAAATCTTCCCTAGTCTGCAGTGCCTAGCAGGGACACAGCATAACGCTTGAAGAACATAAAGAGCGCATCAACTTCACGCTGCCACTTGCCTGCTGTGTGACCCTAGGCAGGTGACTTTGTTTCTCTGATCTGAGCATTGAAAGTGCTAATAAGCACCTCCGTGAGTTAGGAGGCTTCAGAGCATTACGTAAAGCAGTTAGCAGGATTCCTGCCCCACCTGATTCCTAAAAGATACCAAAAGCACATTTGTGTGAGCAGTTGTCTAAATCCCGCCACAGCGCCCCCTCTGGCCAGGTGCCAGTATCCATCACAGTGGGGCCGGCAGATTAATACCCCACAAGAGCAACAAGTACTCAGCCATGGAGACCAATGTCTGTTGAACAAGGGGCACAGGCAGGGAAGAATGGCAGAGCCTGGGATCCTGGCCTCTGTGGTGCCACCATTGTCCTCTGTGACTCCCATCCCTGGGAAGGACCCTCATCTGTAAGCAGCTGGGACGCAGGCACTGCCAGCCTTTCCATCCCTCATCACTCCCAACCACATGTCTCTCTCAGTTCTACATCTATAGAGAACAAGGGGGAGAAATCCTCCCTCCGCAGCATGGCATGGGCCAAGCAGGACTCAAAGAGCAGGGACCTGGTCCCTGCCTCCCACTTTATGCGGCGCCCCTAAGCGCTGCTTCTCTACAACACTGGGCTTGCTGAGCCCTAACGGTGGAAATACAGGCACTTTGCCCTCAAAGCATTTGGGAGTAGTAAAGATTAGTTAGATGAGTAGCTCTCTACCTCTCCCTTAAAACACATAAAAGCATCAAAGTCCTTTGGGATTTAGCCTGGTGGGGCCATGAAGGTATAAATACCCATGGACACATTCTTTGGTATGAGGCCTCAGGAAGGGGTGGGTAGCAGTGATATCTCATTTGCAACATGTCCCCTGGCAATCAGATCCTAGGGGACAGGAGACTCACTTTCCTTCTGGAGAAGATACTTGCAGCCCTCCCCTCTAGGACACGGAGGAGGGAAGTTTACATCCCCACAAGAGAATTCTTGACAAATTAAATGAGAAAAGACAGTGTAGAAACCACATCCCCCTTTGGGAGACACATCTTGCGGTTTCCAAGGCCATCCCTTCTCCTTGGATCGTTTGGTTTCCATGGCGACATCAGGACAACCACAGCTCCCTGCACGAATGAGTGTGGAATGTGGCGCAGGACAGCACAAGGACAACGTGGAGCCTGTGCAGGACCGCAGACCTCTGTCCCAACCCACACAAGAACCACAAGGGCAGCCCATGCCAGCACCCCAGAGTGGCCCCTTCCCACTGGGCCCCAGAGCACATAAAAGTACAGGAGGGTAACCAAGGGCTCCTGGTCCAGAACACCTAAGAGTGAGACCTGTAGGGGCAGAACTCACAGCACTGCATTCAGCAGCTAGCAGGTGGAACATAAGTGGAGCTCTGCCAGCGTCTCAGTAAGCCCACACCCACACATGCTGGGTTGCACATGCCCTGTAACTAAGCAGACTCATCTCGTGCCACCCACTCAGTGACCCAGGACATCATCATGATTGCTGTCCTTGAGTTATAAACACAGAGATAGGCTTCTTAAAGACCAGTGACAGGTTCAGGGTCACACTGCTCCTACATGGTAAGGCCTGACCCAGCTCTTCAAAGCATCAGTGCCATGCAGGGACTGGTTCAAAGGTGGGTTTTTCGACTCTACTGCAGACCTATTGGCTCGCAGAGGCAGAGCCCCAGCCATGTGTGGTTTAACCAGCCCCTCCAGGAGGCAGTGATGCTCACAAAACTGTGAGAACTCCAATAAATCAACTACTCATTCCTGCAGCATCCCACACTAAAGGTTCCCAAATGCTGCTGCCCAGTAGAATCCTCTCAGCATCATGTCTACCAAGTTTACCACTGCGGCAGCCAATGGCAGGATTCCCTTCTTTTTGAAGGCTGAATAATACTCTGTGCATACACACCTCACTTTCTGTCTGCATATATTGCCATTCATCCATCAATGGACATGAAGGCTTCTTCTGTGTTTTTGCTCTTATATAAAGGGACAATGAAGATGGGAGCACAGATATCTTTTTGCAATCCTGACTACAGTGCTTTTGGTTATATACGCAGAAGTGGGATATTTGGATCATAAGTGGTTCCAGTTTTAATATTGTATAGAACCTTCTTACTCTTTCTACTACAGCTGTACCCATTCACATAAAAGGCAACAAGTGTTTCATTCTACAAAAGAAACACTTCTTGCCTTTTATCTTCTTGACAATGGTCATCCTCATGGGTATGAAATGATATAGGCTTGGATTTCCATTTTCCCTGATAATTAGTGATTTTTTTTTAATGTATTTAGTACAGGGTTTAAAGGGTCTCATTATACAGATCGTACTCATGGTGATCCTCCAGTTTTCACCCTCCCAACCACTGGGATTATACCATGCCCAGTCGCAGTCGACCTTTCAGTGTGCCCTGGGGCTGGAGCTGGCACAGCACACTGGGGATCGAGCCCCAGTCCCTGAACCTGCCTAAGCAGGCACTTTAATCCACTGAGCTATCTGGTTGGCCTGATAATTAGTGACTTTGAGCACCTTCACATAGGCCTATTAGCCATACCCATGTCTTCGTTTGAGATATAATTAGTTAGATCTTCTACTCAAGTTTTAAAAAGATTATTTGGGTGTTTTCCTTTTTGCACTTGATCTTGGACATGCTAAATGAGAGCAATGCTCTCAGCCATGTTGGGAATCTAAAATATTCAAACTCTCAGAAGCAGAGGGTAGGGTGGAGGTGTAGGGACTAGTGGGGGAAGTAATCCGGGAGGAACTGGCGTAGAGGTACTCAGTCTTAGTTATGCAAGAGGATTGAGCCCCAGAGAGCCACTGTGCACCCTGGTGCTTGTAGCTAACGGTGCTGGCTACATCAATATTGAAAAAGAAAATACTTAAAAATAGGAGGAAGATCTTAGATTCAAAGTTCTTCTCACCAAAAGGGTGGAAGGGGTAATCCTTCAGAGGTGATGATTTAGTTTCAAGTTCA